GCCTCACCCTCCCAAAGTGTTGGGATTACAGGTGTGAACCACCATGTCCAGCCTTGTGTTTAGTTCTATATAGTTTTGTCACATGTATAGGTTTGTGTATCCACCACCACCATCAAAATACAGGACTGTTCCATTATTGTAGGACCTCTCACTCCAATTCCTTACCGTTGATGACCACCAAAATCTGTTCTCCATCTCTAAAATTTTGTCTCTCAAAAATGTTATATAAATGAAATCATACAGTATATAACCTTTTGGGGTTGACTTTTTCGTTCAGCACAGTTCCCTGGAGATTCATTCAATATATGTGTATATCAATAGTTTATTTCTTTTTATTGCTGATTATTATTTATGGTGTATATGTGGGCGTGTGTGTGTGTATATATATATATATACACACACAAATACACACACACACACACACACACACACACACACACACACACACACACACACATATATATATATATACTTTTTTTGTTGTTGTTTAAACATTCACCCACTGAAGAACATCTGGTCTGATTCCTGTTTTTGGCTATTACAAATAAAGCTGCTATTTAGTAGCTTTTAGTACTGGTTTTTGTATTAACATAAATTTTTGTTCCTCTGGGATTAATGTTTAAAGGTAACATTGCTGGGTTGAATGGTAATTGCATGTTGAATTTTGTAAGAAACTGCCAAACGATTTTCCAGATTGGATTTACTATTTTGTATTCCCACTAGCAATGTGTGAGTGATCTGGTTTCTCCATATCCTTGCCATAATTTGGTGCTATCACTAATTTTTATTTTAGCCATTCTGATGGGTATGTAACGATATTGCATTGTAGTTTTAATTTGTATTTTCCTGATGGCTAATGTTGCTGAACATCTTTTCAAGTGCTTATTTGCCATTGATTGCTAAATCCTCTTCAGTGAAATGTCTGTCTGTTTTTGCCCATTTTCTAACTGAATTTTTTTTAGTTGTTTTAAAAATTATTTATGTATCCTAAGTAGTACTCCTCTGTTGGATATGTGGTTTGCAAATATTTTTTCCCAGTCTGTAGCTTCCCATAAGCTTTGAAAAGTTTTTAATTTCGATGAGGTCTCTTCATGACCTTTTAATGTTTGGTCTTTTTTGACAAATAGAGATAAGTACCTTCAATAGAATTAGAGCGTTTTTCTATTTTAATTATTTTTATTCCTTTTTATTCTCTACCTTCTCCTTGACTTTTACTCTCTTTAGCAACATAAACTTTTCTTGTGAAAAATATTGTAAAGTATTAAAATTGTACTTTATTTCAGTGTTCTTAATGTTCTTTAATAAGGAACTTTTTTTTTCTCTTGCCTTTTACAAACATCCAGAACATTTCCTTTTTGTTTGATCACATTTTTTTGCAAGCATTTGTTGGCAATTGTTTATGTTCAACAGTTACATGTTAGCTATACAGTCTTCCCCTTTCTTCAAAACCAGACCCATATGCAGATGGCATTTCATTTTTATCATAGTTAGTAGTGACAGAATAGCCCCCTAGAACCCATAGAGAAAATCTCTGAGTTTGTATATTTATTTTCTCCAGTTATGAAAAGAAAAGGCTACCCTCATTCATCAAGATTTAGAGATACGCCTTTCCTGAGTGTCCCTAGTCATTGGGCCTACCAGTGACTCTTCTGCAGTCCAGGGGTTGTGGGAGGGATGCCTTGCACACTTGACCCATCTGCCTCTTGTGTCCAGTTGAAGCAGCAGCCCTGGGTGAGGAGTGTGCCCCAGCTCCCCACATGCCCCAGACCTGTGGTAGGTTCCTGAGCCTCACTGAGCACTTCTTCTTCCCTACTGTAAAGAAGGGCAAGGGGAAGAATACAGCCCACCCTACCTTTCATGAAGGGCAGTCCAGAAAATTTCTCATATCTCTCTTTTTGTGGTATCTGACTCTAGTAAAAGAAGGTACCCAGTGACTTTCCCTGCTGTATGGATGCAGAGAGAAATGTACTTATCAACTGTTGGATAGCTAAAAAGATAATGATACCAAGCCAACTAACAAAAAGCACCTTTTTTTTTTTATGAAATGGAAATGACTTCTAGAATCTTTCAATAAGTAGGAATTATAGCTCATTTAGTTAATTATCAATAAAGATGTATTAGCACCTACTTGATGCCAGACTCTTTTCTTGGTAGAAGGGATACAGCAATGAACAAAAGGAAGGGAAACCTCTGTACTTATGAAGCGTATATTTTAGGGGGGAAAATAGATGATAACTAGATGAAATGTATAGTATATGAATCAGTGATAACCACTCGGGAGAAAAATAAGGTGAGTAAGAGAGATAGGAAGTACCATGGTGAGGGTGGTGGTACAGTTTTAAGGAAGTTGGTCTAAGAGAATGTCCTGGGGAGAGTGATTTCTGGGTTAAGACCTGAAGTGAGTGATGAGAAAGCCATGCAGATACCTGGTGGAGGAAAAGCAGCCTGGGCAGAGGGCACAGCACCCTCAAGGCCCAGAGGTGGGCCTGGGCTGTTCAAGAACAGCAAAGAAACTCATGTGGCTGGACCACAGGGAGTGATGGGAGCTCCAGTCCATAAATATCATGGAGAGGATCATACAGGATTATTTAAGTAATTTTGCTTCACTCTGGGTGGCATGGGAGCTGCCAGAGGGCTCTGAGCAGAGGGGTGGATAGTCAGAGTCTGACTTTTGCATTAATTGGGTCTCTGGATACTCTGTTGGCTGTAGAATGCACAGGATATGAGCAAAGGCAGAGAGACCAGGTAGGAAGCTATGGCAATGGCTTAGGACAGAAACAATGGAGTCCTGGACCAGGGCAGGAAATGTGGAGATATGTGGAGGTGGCCAAAGCGATTGGGTTGTGAATAGATTTTCAAGGCAAAATGAAGGATTTGATATGTTGGAAGTGAGGGGTAACAAAAGAGAGGCATCACAGATGACCCTCAGGTTTGGCCTGAGCAGCTTCACAAATGGGATTGTCATTTCTGAGACAAGGACAACATTATGAATGATTTGTGTCAAGTAAGTCTTACATAATACTGTAAGAGCATTACATCTTTATTTTAAAGGTGAGGATTAACATGCATAGAGTAAAATGCATTTAAGTGTACTCATTCCAAATTGTAGCTTTGCAGGAACACTAGATCTTAAATATATTTTATTCATCATTGGAATTTGGGGGAAATATTTTTTATTTCTTTAATAATTTACATATTAAATCCTTTATCATTTTTAGCTGTTATGAGAAGGCACATCTCTCTCTCTGCTACAGATTGAAACATAAAATAATTTCTTCCACAAGTATCTTTTAGCCCTATTATGCATACTCATAATATCCTAGCCCTATAGGGAGAATAAAGTACAATCTTTGCCCTTAGGGACCATATTATTTAGTTGAACATAAACAAATGATGTGAAAATTGCAGAATAATAGCAAATTCAAACACAGATGGTTTTTTGTTTCTTGACTTCATGAATGTGTATGTCACTTCATCCTCTGGAATGTCTGTCACAAAATGACAGTGTTTCGGTTCTGTGATCTGAAACATGACTTACTGAAAAGAGCATGTGAAGAAAATGTATTATATCATTCCTGATGAGTAAGAAAGCCAACCGAGGTTTTGAAGCGTGCCTCACATAAAGGGCTTTGATGTGGCATAATTTTGGGTTTCACTGGTACCTGAGTAAACTTTTGTAGATGATGACATCTCATGAAAAACACATGCTTCTTAGTCAATTTACTAGTGAAATAGTGTTGGGAGAATGCAGCCTATAGGCAGTCCTCATGCTCAGCAGGAAAATGTTCTGACAATTAAAACAATTCTAATTTGATTCTTATTTTCTCGTAGAAAAAGTGACGTGACAGAGAATGTTGATTCTGACTGGGGATCTGATGCCCAACATTTTATAGAAATTACCGTAAACATTGTACTTAATTACATTTATTTTCAAGCGTAAGTGGCATGCTATTTAGTATAAAACTTAGATACTATTTAAAAACTCAATGGCATTTTATTTATGCTAACACTATCGCATACTATACCAGAGGCTGCTTTTGTTTTCATGTACTCTACTTAAATTTTACTAAAGCAAATCTGAGTAACTCTCATGGCACTTAATGGAATTCAAAAGAACTTTATTCAGATTTTTACCATCTTCTTTGAAAGAAACCTTGGCCTGGTTGATACATTTTTGAAAAACTGATTCAAGAATAATTTTCTTTCAACTGGGTGCAGTGGCTCACACCTGTAATGCCAGCACGTTGAGAGGCCAAGAGGATGGATCATGAGGTCAGGAGTTTGAGACCAGCCTGGCTAACATGGTGAAACCCTGTCTCCACTAAAAATAAAAAATTAGCCATGCGTGATGGCACGCACCTGTAATCCCAGCTACTCAAGAGGCTGAGGCAGGAGACTCGCTTGAACCTGGTAGGCTGAGGTTACAGTGACCCAAGATCACGCCACTGTAGCCCAGCACGGATGACAGAGGGAGACTCCATATAAAAAAAAAAAAAAAAAAAAAAAACCATTAAACAATAACTCCTTATTATCCCCTCCACCTAAATTATATATATAAATTTTCTTTCTGTCATTCCTCTTATATTTTGTTGAACAGGCTTTTCCCTCTAAACTACATAAACTAATCTGGTTTTTTATGAACAATAACTTGCTTAGCAATGGCAGAAAGCTGTGCCATCATAGATAGATACAGTTGTAATCAGCTAGGTACTAATCACATTGCTGATCTGTTTTATAATTGTGATTTACATTTCTTAGCAGAGATATTTCACGCTTTTCCTTTTCCTTTGATTTGTTTCTATTGGTCTTTTTTTCACCAATGCAAACTTTAGATTGCCAACACTTTAAATTCCTAACACTTTATTTTTATTTGTTTATTTTTGGAGGTAAGGTTTTGCTCTTATCGCCCAGGCTGGAGTACAGTGGTGTGATCTTGGCTCACTGCAGTCTCCGCCTCCCAGGTTCAAGCAATTCTCCTGCCTCAGCCTCCTGAGAGCTGGGATTACAGGCACCTGCCACCATACCTGGCTAATTTTTGTATTTTTAGCCTTAAAATCATAAAAATAATCTGATTAAAGTGCAGTTGTTTTAATAGGATAAATGACTATGAGGTAATGAGACCTCTCTTTGTATGACAGCACTTAGAAATTTAAAAAAATCTTCACTGCTAGAGCAGCCAAGGCAGCCCATAAACTTAGGCTGCGCTTGTCCTGACACCTGTTTGAAACTATTTTATTTGGTTTCTTCAGAGATGGTTTCATACCCACATGAGAAAATTTGTTTTTTATGTTATGGTGATAGCTCACTCTCCCTTTAACTAATATTGTTCTCTTTGCCCTGTCTTCCTTATCACATGGCTTAGCTCTGCCCGCTTCTCTTCATTCATGGCTGCTTAAGCTTCTGATGGATCTTGAAGGGAGTAGATAAACTTTCTTTGTGACTTTGGAGCCATCACATTTGATCTTTGGGCCTACTCCCCTCTCCTCATCTACTGGGATAAATATTAGTACTGATCTACTTGTAAGACTTCTTTTTCCCAAGAAGATAATTAGGTTATCTCTCTCCCTACCCCTCACCAAGAAATCAAAATAAATTAGAACCTTCCTTTCAGTATCCGAGAGTCTTTAAAGGTGTTTTAAACCACTAGAGGGAGCCCATATTGTTCTGATTTCTGAATCCTATAATGTTTCACAACTTGATTTTATTGCCTGTAGAAAAGGATCTCTCTAACCAATGACTGGATCAGTACATCCATAACTGTAGTGATCTCTTTTAGTTTGCCTCTTTTCTTTTTTTTCCCAATATTTTTATTGTGGTAAAATATACATAATACAAAATTTACTGTCTTGACCATTTTTAAGTTTACAATTCAGTGGTATTAAATAAATTCATAATGTGCAACCACAGTCATCATCCATCTTTATAACTCTTTTCATCTTGTAAAATAGAAACTCTGTACCCATTAAACAATAACTCCTTATTATCCCCTCCACCTAGCTCCTGGAAACAGCACTTGTACTTTCTGTTTTTATAATTTTGACTATACTAGGTATTGGATATACAGTACTTGTCTTTTTGTGACCTATTTCCTTTAACATAATGTCCTCAGGGTTCATCCATGCTGTTGCATGTCAGAATTCCCTTAGTTTTTAAGGCTGAATAATATTCCATTGCACATATGTACCGAATTTTGCTTATCCATTCATCTGTTGGTAAACACTTGTGGTGCATCCACTTTTTAGCTGTTGTTTTAGTTCATTTGTGTTGCTATAAAGGAATACCTGAGCCTGGGTAATTTGTTTTTAAAAGAGGTTTATTTGGCTCATGGTTCTGCACACTGTACAAGAAGTGTAGCCCAAGCATCTCCATCTGGTGAGGGCCTCTGCTGCATAGTCCAGACTACAAAGTAGAGGGAAGGAAATGGCTGGTTTCCTCTGTGCCATGCTTCGGACTTGGAATCTTTTACCCAGGCTTTGAAAGCCACGGGAGTTGGTATTTATTCCCCACTCTTCTGTCCACATGCCATCCCATCAGAGTTTCTGTTGCTTTCTAGAACACTGTGGGGGCAAGACTTTCCTACTGGCACAATTGGTAGGTAACACTACCCTCAAGGGTTGTGGAAGGTTAAAGGGAGCTGGCGTGTAGAGATCACATGGTGAGAGAGGAAGCAAGAGGCGGGGAGGTGCCAGGGTTTTTTTTTTTAACAACCAGCTCTGGCAGGAACTAATAGAGCGAGAACTCACTCATCACAGCAAGGATGTCACCAAGCCATTCATGAGGAATTTGCGCCCATGACCCAAACACTGCCCTTTAGGCACCATCTCCAATATCAGGGATCAAATGTCTGGGGAAACAAATATACCTGGTATATTCTATTTTAAATATGGTAATTCTATTTTTAATTATTTGAGGAACTTTCACACTGTTTTCCATAGTGGCTGTGTATCATTTTACATTTCCACCAGGAATGCACAAGGATTCCATTTTCTCCGTATTCTCACCAACGTGTGTTATTTTCTGGTTTTGTTTGTTTGTTTATAGTAGCCATCCTAATGGATGTGAGGTAAGGAGAAAATTGGAAAATCACCAAACAGAGACCATCATTTATACTAGTGTTTTTGTATTCTGTGGCTCAGAATGGGCTGTGGGTAGAGTAATTTGATCATTTTTGATAGCTCCTTGACTGGGGTCTATGGCTATCTTCCTCCCCTTCTCCATAACGTTCCATATCACCTTCCACCACCTTTCTTTCCAGCAATCCCTGGACAGATTTAGTCCCATTCAGCAGAATATCAGTTGTGTGTAGACGTTGTTATACTGGGCTCTGTGGCAAAGTGGAAGGTGAATAATGAACTGTCCTTGTCGGGGTAACAATCTTAGCCTTCATTGCATTCAGGGAATGTATTTTGGCTTCTTTCAACCTTTCTTCCCTTTGCTCTCCTCTCTCTACTAAGGAGCTTGACCTCATGATTTCTCAGATCCCCTCCACTCCTTCAAATTCTCTAGATTTTTCATTTATCGATCAGTGGAGTTGTTTTTGTATTTTATTGTCTTTTTAAAATATTGGGAATTTATAAGATTTTACACTTCCTGCTATAGTTTGAATGTTTGTCCCACCAAATCTCATGTTGAAATCTGATCTGCAATGTTGGAGGTAGTGCCTAATGGGCAGTGTTTGGGTTATGGGGGCAGATCCCTCATGAATGGCTTGATGCCATCCTTGTGATAACAGATGAGCTCCCACTCTGTTAATTCCTGCTGGAGCTGATTGTGAAAATGCCTGGCATTTCCCCTCCCCTTGCTTCCTCTCTTACCATGTGACTGCACAGCTGGCTCCCCTTCACCTTCCACCATGAGTGGAAGCAGGCTGAGGGTCTCACCAGATGGAGATGCTGGTAGCATGCCTCTTTTACAGCCTGAAGAATCATGAGCCAAATAAACCTCTTTTCTTTATAGATTACTCAGCCTCAGATATTTCTTCATAGCGATACTAATGGACGATGACATTTCCTGTTTTAGAATACAACTAATTTCTTTACTGAGAGATTCGAGTTCATTCAACTCTACACACAGCACCCTCCCCAGTCCTCTTACATACCTATGTTATAAGATGCTCTGCCTTCCATTGTTGTTGTTGTGGTTGTTGTTGACCACCATTCTAAGTTGAGCTATAGGAAGTCATGTAGATGTCGAAGCTTATGCAGTCTTTCTAAACCTTCTAAGATTATGCCAACCCAATTCAGAATACATACGCTGATAAAGTAAGATATTTTTAGGATAATTTCTGTAATGGTTGTGTTTGTGTATTGAAGTGTCATTCAGGGTTGAAAAGGCAAATCCTGATTTCTTAATTACCTTCAAGAGTGGTTTTACTATTAATATCTGTAGAGTTACAGCTTAGGACAGAAGCCTAAGAGATCATACCACCACATTTTACTGAGCCTAAGGTTAGTACCTTTTAGTACCTCTGAAATTGAATGTATTTTACAGTGGCTATCAGGTGGCTGCCATCATCAACATGTGGACAAACTTGAATGTCAACACTGGTAATGTGATTTGGCAACAGCAACTCCTCATGGTTTCAGTCAGTATAGAATATGAGTTCTGAGTGGGGCTGTAAACCTTTCATTGACCCCTTTTTATAAGATCAGAAAAAGCACAAGCATGGAACCTTGCAAATGGGTGCCAGCTGCTTGGAAGGAAATCCTGGTTAGAGTGGGGAAGCACTGTTTTAAGGACTGCTGCCTCATCCACACTGCCAAGGCCACATAAAATCATTTTGTATTGGAAAACTTGTGCAATATCAACTCTGAGATAAAAGTTGATTTAGAAGTCTTGAACTCTGAATGTCTAAAAAACCTAGTAGTACAATAACCAGTACATTACGCTTATATTTTATATGTAGCACAGAATTGATAATAAAAAATTTATCTAAAAAAGTTTTTTAAAAGCCCTTCAAATTAGAATTCTAGGTAATAAGAACACTTTGTGTAATTGTTTAATTGGCAGTATTTTTTTGTGTGTGGTGGTACCATAAGAGAATGGTGTGTCTTATGGGGTCTTACAGTTTATGGTATTGTTGAAAGAAGGTAATAGTGGGAAGTGTGGTTTGCCTGCATTTCTGACCTTCCTCTCTAGCACCCAGCTTTTGCACTGCTGCTGATCCTGGCTTCTGTGCCTTGTAAATGCCCTTTTTCCTGCCTCAGTGCTCCTCCTATACTCCTCAGCCTGCTTCCTATACTTCCTTTGATGTCCAATCTAAAACAGACTTCCTCTGCCAAGTAAACACTTCTCCATCTAGAACATTCAGTGTACATCTGTGGAAGCACATCATTTGAACTACACTTGACTATGTATATTGCTGTGGAAATATTTTATATTTGTTTCATGACTATGTTCCTCAACTGTAAAAGATTATAAACTCTTTGTGATAGGCTCTCTGCACCCTATCACAAGTATCACTTGATAAATACTTGCTGAGTTTATTTCTACTCTGCATTTGCCTGTGCCATTGTTAGAAATTTGAAGACATATGTGAAAAATATGGACAAACAGTTTAACTGCTCCCTCTCTAGTGGTTTCTCTACATGAGCCATGGAACTCTGGTGGAGAAGGCTCAAAGTAATCCCCTGGTTTTGGTGTGATTTTAGCTGCTGCTTCAGTACTCACCACCACCTCAGATAATTGGGTCTGGGGACTTACCCCCAGTACCCATGCACCACAGCCTCAAGATTGTTGTATTGCAGAACCATTTGACAATGAAAGATTGTGTATGTGTGTTTACCTTATATGTATATAGCAAGGATTAAATTCTTTCATAGCACTGAGTACAGGAAATGTTTTTATTTTTCTGATTTTTATTCCCCTCTTACTCCACCTGCTGAAAGTACAGTTCCATTTGTGTTTTGACTGCTCTTTGCTTCTCCCTGGGATGTGCAAGAATAAGAGGAAAAACAAAGGACAGCATTAGTAAATCTCACCTATGATAAGCTGCATAGTCCAGACTACAAAGTAGAGGAAAGGGAATGGCTGGTTTCCTCTGTGCCACGCTTTGGACTTGGAATCTTTTACCCAGGCTTTGAAAGCCACAGGAGTTGGTATTTATTCCCCACTCTTCCGTCCACATGCCATCCCATCAGAGTTTCTGTTGCTTTCTAGGACATGCTGGGGGCAAGTCTCGCCTACTGGCACAATTGATAGGTAACACTGCCCTCAAGGATTGCCCTCCCAGGTTAGGTCACATCTGCCCCACTGCACAGTTCTTCCCCTCAATCAGCTGGATTTTGCAGGGGTGGAGGCCAGTTAGCTTGCCCTCTGGGTACAACCCATCTTCTGGGGAGGAATTAGAAATGTCCAAGGCCAGAACAGCCATTTGCTTCTCAAGAACTGGGCAGGAAAACTCCCACCACCTCCTTGCTGTACCTGCCAACAGCTAGTCGATGGCCAAACCAAGCATCAAGTCTTATCCTACTGAACATACACCCTTTGCAGTGCAGAGCAAGGCTTCAGTGTTTCATTCTTTAAAAAAAAAAAAAAAATACATGAACAGAAAATTTTGTTCTACTGAAATCCTTTTAAAATAATTACCAGATTAATGCTTGATTGACAGTTGAGAATTTATTCTGATAGGGACACAATATATGAATCATTCCATATAAGAAGTACAGAAATGATGCAACAAAATTGAAATTAAGCATCACCATTAAGATACATGTGTGAGTTCCATCTTCAGGTCTTTTAAGTCCATGTTAGAGTAGCTCAATTCGTACTGGCTTTTCCTTTCATATATCACAGCGAAAACATAAAAAACATTGTGTTTGAGGTGAAATAGAAATTCAGACTATAAATCTATATTTCATAGAAATAGTGAATATATATCACAGAAATATACAAGTCTCCCTCCATGCTGCTCTCCTCCCCCATGCAAACACCAGGCATAGGAAGGTTCTGTAGGAGGGCAGAAGGTATGTGGGAGGTGGTAGGAACTCTTCCCCTCCCTCACTCCAGGGACTTAGGCTTTTCATGATGTCTCTCTTAGGAACAGCTTCACAAAGATTAAGTAAGGTGGATTCCTTAACTAGCCCTAGATCCACCCTGCTCAGGGAACACAAGCGTGAAAGGGAGACCCTTTCTCTACTTTTCTGGGACTGGAGTTTTCTGCAGTCAGGAAAAACAGCAGGAGCGTGTGCTGTTTGCCAAAGGTTGAAACTCTAAAGACAGTTCTCCCAAAGAGGAGGTAAAAGATAACCATGTACGGAGATAGGGTTATGTGGCTATGGGATACTTTTCTTTGTTTTGTAAACTATTAAAGTTTTCTGTCTTCTTTTTCAATTACAAAAGCATTACTTGCTTATTGCAACCAGATAAAGACTATAGAGATTTCCTTCTGTGCACACGCTGACATTTGTGTGGTAGGTAGGTTTGCTTGTGCCTCCCGTGGGGTGAGAGAGTAGGAATTACCCACGCATTTACCCTACAGTAGGCTTATTGTCTGCACTTAATTCAAAATGACAAAAATCTTTTGAAATGTGGCAGAATAAGAAAAAGTGCTCAGATATGTACTCTTCATCCCAGCTACCAAAGAAAATTCTGCAATTGCTCACCAAGTCCCATGTCCTACCCCCATACTGCAAAGTAGGATTGTTCTTTGTCTTTAAGGATGCAAAATATGAATATAGGGAATTCCATTGCTGGGAAGGGCAGGGCCTAAATCCGAGAGCTTACATCACTGTACATCTTCAGGAACAGGAAGAAGAAAGGGAGAAGAGAACAAAAATCAGAGCAGGATTTGAATATTGGTTTGGACCTGGTTTTGTTGGGTGCTGTGGTTCAGGGGTGGGGGACAAAAGAGAAGCTTCAGAGTGGTGAAGTGTGGAGAAAACTGGTGGGAAGAAAGGGGGAGACATGGTAAGTACCATGCAAAAAATGTGAATAAAGAATAGAATAACTAGCTTGGGCAACATGGTGAAACCCTGTCTCTGTCCCAGCTCCCCTCACCCCCAAAATATATATGTAGATTAGCAAGGTATGGTGGTGTGCCCCTGTAATCTCAGGTACTCAGGAGCCTGAGGTAAGAGGATTCCTTGAGCTCGGAAGATGGAGGCTGCATTAAGCCAATATTGTGCCACTGCACTTGAGCCTGGGGAACAGAGCAAGACCCTGTCTGAAAAAAAAGAATAGTTCTTAAATTAGTTTTTGGTTTCTGAGCTGTGCTTCTGAAATTTGACACTCCTTAGGAATATATAACTAGGGAACCATGCTTGTCATGGCTACAAAGGGGTTGCATATGTCAATATATACAGGTAAATAAATATATACCTTGCTGTTTGTAATGGCTGCAGAATATTCCACAGGGTCCAGCTTTTCTCCTGTCAGTAGCCATTCTGATTATTTTCCGATATTTTTTAGTTACTGTGAATGTAACTTTTCTGTACATATACCCTTTTTCAATAGATTACATATTCCTAAAAGTAGAATTGCTGAATCAAAGATTAAGCAGTATTTTTAATAGGTACAGTGAGATCATTTTCCAGAAGTGTCCTGCTAGGTTATTTATGAGAGCCCCATTTTCATATACCTTATTATCTACTTGCTGATAAAAATATTTTTTTCCCAAGTTGGGTAGGCAAAATGTCGTCTGAGGTGGATTAGGTTCAATTTCCTGACCAGCAGTGAGAGTGAAAACTTTTCTATTATGTTAAATGGCCACTTGCCATGCCTCA